AGAGAGAGAGAGAGAGAGAGAGAGAGAGAGAGAGAGAGAGAGAGAAAAGAGGGATGAGTTGGGTTTTTTTCCTCTGAGAAAAAAAAAGAGGGAAAAGGCGTCCCCCTTCCTGAAAGGCTGTGATTGATTTTATCTAATATGTGATGAACAGTAGACCGAGGCGACGGAGTGAGAGAAAAGTGTCAGTGTGTGTGGGTCAGGCAAATGGCAGAGCAAGATCTTGTAGGAAATGAGGTCCTTGGATACAACCTGGGATCAATAGTTATTTTACTGCCAACAGTCAGACAGGCACAGAACCACACGGTGCACAGAACCACACGGTGCACACACACACACACACACACGCACACGCACTTTAACATACTCGTTCGCCCTGCGCGTGCATCCGCCTCATGAAAACAAGCTGTATCACATCAATCACATGAATCCTTTGCTCTTTCTCTCTTGACCTTCACTCATTCCATCATCCACTCTTTCATCTCTCCTCCCTTGCTCAGCGCATCCATCCCGTCTTTCATCTATTCCTCTCTTCCCTCTAATCCATCCTTTCAACCTGGCCTGCTTTCTGTGTTGGATGATCCATGTGTTCATCCTCTGATGAAAGGATGAGCTCAATGTCTCTTGCCAATCTGGATGCAGCAGGAAGCTTCCCAAACACCTTTGACATACAGTACGTGTCACCCAGACGTTACAGGAGGGGGTTTGCGGCGCTCTCTGTGATCCTATTTGACAAACGCTGTCAAAGTGCCCGAGGGGGAAACTGCACACTGTAACTGCACATCATTTCTATGGACTTGTTCAGTGGCCAATGGTATGATTTGGAAGTCAGGTAAGCTGATCATCACATCATTACAAGCATGACAACCAGCACTATTCACATGCCAAGGAAGTCCATGCACAGATAGTGTGAGTGCAGGAACATTCAGAAGATTGAGAAGAAGCTAGAAGATCCTGAAGCGTGTAAATAGTCAAAAACTCTGCCCTCGAGAGTCTCTCTGGCGTGCTGATCAGATTGCATGCTAGGATCACAAGGATTCCACAGCCTCTCACTGTCCTCATACCGCCCCTGAAATATATGTGTATGTGAGTTTCCAAGGCAATGCAGCTGGCGCCAGAGAAACCTAACACTGATGTTTGATGGAGGAGGGGTCAAGGGTTGGGCAGTTGTCATGGCAACACCTCTAGCACATAAACAAGCTGGTACTTTTTGTTCTTGGATCTCAAGTGAGCATCATGGGTTTGTGAAGCTCTGGAGCTGATATGATGCATGGTGAGACATAAAGGATACACACACACACACACACGCACACACACACACACACACACACACACAGCGAACATGGAAGAGGGTGTTTGAACAGGAAACCAATCGGCATCAACAGGAGAGTGAAAGGAGGCTTTAGCCAATCAACTCAGACGTCCCATGTGGACCTAAGTCCAGACCTCGCATGACTGTCAACACATAGAACAAAAAGACAAATCATTGGGTTGTGTTTATATTGTGTTAGTGATGGACTTCTTACTTCTAATCCACTACATTACGTTACAAATAAATATTTTACTTACAAAACATATGATGACCTTGTAAAATATGATATATTGTTTAAACTGCCCAACAATATATATACAGATTAGCTTCACACTTGCCGGGGCCAGTATTCTAAATTCAGTACTTTTTGCTAATAATATTTAAATAACAATTCAATGTTTTATCTCTGATCTGAAAACTTTCCCCACCACTGCAATTTGTGATTGGCATAATTCATAACTACTATTTGCTGGAAAATCCTTAATTTACTAGACCAAATATTTACTCATTATACTCATTACACCTTTTATGTACCTTAAATTGTAATTATGTTCCTCATACCATTGCTACTTGTGTCTACTTTTTAAAATTCATATCAGAAGAAATTGAGGTTGTCATGTTGTTTAAGACACAAACATGTTGTGACTTTATGCTATATACATGACTCAAATTAAACCGCTTTTTGACTGATTACCCTTACAATAAGGTTTGTAAAAATATGAATTTAGAAATTGTTAAAAATATGAACGATAAGGTACATGATAGGCCTAACTATTGCTCTACATTTGGCAAAAACATTGGCCTACAGTTTAAGTTAAATAATGTACGCAGTACTGAAGTGTACACATTAAGCAGCAGAGTTGAGTTGCTCAGATAGAGGTGAGCCCCCATTTTCCCTCTCCACAAACCTTTACACACACACACACACACACACACACACACACACACACACAGAGCCTTGAGTACACTCGCCTTCTTCTCCTCCATACACACGTCATGCATGGCCTTCAGGCTGATTGTCCCTATAGCATATGTCCATATATCTGGGTGGGTCGCGTGCGGCTGCAAACATCCCCTCCATCCTGTCTGTCTCAGCCCTGATCCCTGTATTGCATCCCTGACATGCACATTCCATAAACACATAACCATACACACATAACCATACACACGCGCACACAAAGTCATATTTGTGTTGGATACATGCACGAAGTGGCATGGACAATTTGTGTGGCATGAGATAGTTTTTCCCATAACTGAGCACTTTAAATTGACATTTCTAAAGGTCAAAAACATAGATTCTTGACAAAAAACATTTGGGAGAGAGCGAGACAAAGACCGATGAGGTTATAGAAGGAGGAGGAAACATTAGAGAGCAAATGAGTGCTTCATCTGCAGTCTGTCAGGTCAAGTAGTCCTTTAATGTGCTGATATTCAGATAGCAGCAACATTTAACATTTACTCCCTGTGTGTAAAGGGGGATGTTTGTGTTTTTGTCTACTTTTGCCCATGTGTGTGTGCCTGTGTGTGTGCCTGTGTGTGCACTTTCAAAGTGAATCATTTGTCAAATATTATGAAAGTCAACAACACAAGATCAAAATGCATCCACTGCTGCTTAAAAATAACACTAGAACTCAGAATGTGGGACGTGCACAAACACTTGTAAAAGTCGCCACAGTTCTGTGCAACCTAGAGTCAGGAGATGACCAAATATGGAATAATTTATATATTTGGAATTCTTGTAGAGTGAAAAAAACGAAGTTTTTTGATGGACGGCAAAACTTCACCTAAACAGTGACCGTTTTATGGTGCTTGTGATAACAGTAGATGCTACAAGGAAAACACTGCATACAGTGTCCATGGAGTAAGTACTTCTGTGGTTAAGAGGTACATTGACCACAATGAAAATGCAAACAGGCTGATGTTTAGCAGGTATAATGTTTACCATGTTCTTAGTTTTGCTCTTTAGCATTTCTAATGTTTGCTAATCTGGTAGGACCAAACAAAGTACAGCTGAGACAATGGGAATGTCATTCGTTTTGATGGTATTTAGTCATAAACCAAACCATTGGACAAATTACACATTGTGTGTGTGTGTGTGTGTGTGTGTGTGTGTGTGTGTGTGTGTGTGTGTGTGTGTGTCTCTCTCTGCAGGTCCAGGTAAAAAGGGAAAACAACAAATGTTTGAACTGATAGAGCTTCGTCATCAGCATATTTTCAAAAGCCACAGGGGCATATTTTTTTCTGAAGTCCTAAACCCCTGACTAGACCTTTGTGTGAGTGTATACAAGTAAAATCCTCTGTTGTTGCAGCTTAGCAGGCCCGGTATGTGGAACGTGAGCATTTCCTGGTTTGGGCGGTGCAGGTAGTTTAGAAGGTTTTGATTGGTAGAAGAAAGTTATACAGCGCCAAGCCCCGCGATGACCTTCTCTTCACCCGGCACATTCCACATACCAAAATCCACCTGCGTCCCCATCTGTGCATGTGCATGCTTTTATCACATACATGTAGACACTTACATCAGCTGCTGAGTTAGGAGCTCTTTCTCTTCTCTCATTTTCTGTAACTCCACACTGGAATGCTTTAGCTCCTCTCTGAGCACTGTACAAACAAACAAACAAACACACACACACACACGCACACACAAACACACACACACACACACACACACACACACACACAGGGATTAAAAAGCTTGTCTGCATAGAACGCCGTCTCAGAGCTTGTCACCAGAGGCTGTTACACTGTATGATTTACAGAAAGAGAAAGACAGGTACAGTAGAGTTTTCTATCACACTGTTACTACACCAAATTAATCTATCTACGAGAGTGACAAGATTGGAAGGAGAAACAAAACAAGAGCTGGAGGAGGGGGAACAAAAGAAAGACGTTCCAGACAGAAACATGAGAGTACCTCAAACAAGAGGTGAGGAGGAAGGGTGAGAAATGCAGTATTGAAAAGAAAACCAAGGTGGTAAATTGAGACACAAAGAAGCAGTTGAAAATGAGAAAGATGGGGGGAGTAGAAGGAGGGGACAGTGTTGAGAAGAAGGGAGTACGAGGGAGTTTGTGTTCAAGGGAAACCATGAAACTGTACACCAAAGTCTGGCAGTCTTTGTTGTTGTGTGTCTGACACAAAGTAGCTGCTGTATTGCTACTGTTTCCTCCCTTCACTGTCTGTTCATATTCACCTTGTCAGTTATGATACAATGCGTATACATCAATGACATACAAAACAAAATAAATACAAAATAAAAGAATTAGAAAGCTAGTTGCAAATAAATAATTAATAAATATAGTTGGAAACATTTTGAATAAGGAGACACCTGATCTGAGTGAGCATGTTGTAGGCTGTATATGGCTAATTTCTATGTGCTTGAATCTGAACCTGCTGTGATCCTGCAAAGGTAGGGAGTGTCATTTTGCTCGGCAAATTCAAATTTACATAACAACTTCCAGGCCAGTGGATGCATTTATTAAAAAAAAAAAAAAAGAATAGACCTGGAAGAAATGCTTAACTGCAATATTTAGGCCTGATGTCCGGCCAGCAGCTCAAGGCAGCAGTGGATATCACGCAAGAGAAAAGCACTTAAGCTCCAAGTCTGAGTGGCGAATAACTTGAGGCACGTCACTGTTTTCTGAAAAAAACACCACTTTTGCTGTGCACACAACTGTCTTCAGTAGAAATATTTGCATACTGGCTTCTCTCTTCAAGTAGAAGTGAGAAACATAAAATGAGAACAATCACGATCGGCATATTCAGTGTCTGATAATCAATGATGCACGGCTGCACTATAGTTCTGTGGAGAGAAAGGTGCTTCTTCTTCTGTAGTTTTAATGGATCACTCCGCGTACAGACATATTTGACTACAAACATGCATAAAACAAAACAAACCTTTTGAGAAATGCTTTTTATTCCGGCAAACGTGACTTTGAGGAACGTCTGAACGTCATGACACAATTCTGTGTGTGTGTGGGGGGGGGGGGAGCCCCTAAAGGTGTGACAATGGAACTGTGCTGCTTTATAGACACACGTCCATGCTGCCTTGTAACCAAGAGGTTCAAGCACTCCTCAGGTCATGGTGGTCCTGCACGAGCTGCAGGTTGAGTCCTTGCTGTTTTATAAAGCAAAAAAAGCAGCCTCAACAGACAAAAGCTCTGTGTGGGTGTCTGACTAGCTGTTTGTATGGCCGATAGGCTAGTAGTGTGGGTAGTGGAGTGTGTCAAAGAAGCGTTATGTGTTTGTATTTGTGAGTGTGTGTGTCCAATCTATATTGAGAGAGTTGCCTGTGAGGGTCCATTTGAGCGTAACGCAGGGAAAAGTGGCTGTGACTCTGGACAGCCCTCAAACTGATCCAGCAATGTCAGCCTGACATTTTCCTCCTCCAAGTCTTTGTTTTCCTAACAATCTCTCTCTCTCTCTCTCTCTCTCACTGTTTTTCTCTCCTTCATCCATCTCTTCACGGTCTCTCTCCTCTCTTTCTGTGGCTTTGTTTTTATTCCTTCTCTCTTGGCCTCGCTCCCTCTCTGCAGGAAGAGGGAAGTGTAGGAGGTCCTCCTCAAAGCGGCAATACACCGATAATTGCTTTCTGGTCACTGTGACATGACAAGGTTCGCCAGGCTAAAGCAACACACACACACACACACACAAACACAGATACACTCAGAAACTTACACAGACTCACAATAATAATACTGAACACACAATAATTGACGGGAAAAGAGCCACTTGCAGAAAGACACACAAGCAGCACAAAAACACAAACAGTAATGGACACATCCAAACAGAAATGGTTGTATACATGATGGAGCAGAAAGACTTTGCGATGAAAGCAAACAGGCCTGACTGACTTTGTCTGCAGTGCTTCTATTGTGTGTCACAGTGCTCATACACAGACACACACAGTGTAACTAGATGTGGTAACCGTTTTACAGTATTGTTAGCGGGCAGGTTGTTGCAGTGCTGCAGTAGACGGCAGAAATGACAAACTAGATAAAAAACTAGTTGTACAAACACTAGTACTTTCCTCCTCTTTGACATATACACCAGTCCTCATAGAAATCCTTTCTGAGTAACTTCAATACCATTAAGGCCAGGGAAGGTTTGGAGTTAAGAGAAGCTTCAGATATTTATGGCAAATCATCCACACAAACAACTGAATTTTTCGATTAGACATTTACACAGCTAGGTTTCCAAAAACGTAAATGCTCCCCCGATTCTTCCAATTTTAAAGTCAGAATGTTTGTAAGATATGTGTCTTGTGAAAATGGCTCCAATATTTACTTTAGTGACTATGGGCTATAGATATGGTGTTCATGGGTTTCTGTAATATAAATACTGCTGGCTCTGTGGTGTTGGCATTTCAAACCGGATGCCTGCAGTGCGCCATAGCAGCATCAATCTGCCTCAATTGATGTGTCATTTATTGCTTTCAGTGCGTTTGGGCCGGAACACAACTGTAAGAAGAAAAGGTCACTGCATGAGCAATCTACAAGAAAACTTGATGTAGGTGATACTGAAAGTGAAATTATCTCAGAATTACATAAAATGTGAAAAGAACAGGCAGTGTCAAGACTTATCAGTTTTTTTTTATCTGCACAACTTCGTAAAATTAGAAAAAAAGATTCTCTGATATCATTGGCCAGTTTTTCATGGATAACGATATTACTGTAAATAGATTTAAAGTAAGGGAGAAACACAGTACCACACAACTCATACATATATTCACTCACAAATACTGTGTTCTGCAATAACATAGACTATAAATTTACAAATGTCAACATGAAATAATTGCAATTCACAATAATTGGTCCCATATTCTCTCTCCAACCAACAAAAGCACACAGACACACCCAGCACCTCCAGATATGCTGGTATTTACAGTGTATGAGGCCATTTATAAGGTGTGAAGTATAGATAAGGACCATGTGATACTACAGGGTCCTGTTAATCACACCTTTACAGTTACCTATTAACACACAAGCAGCTAGACATTGGAGGTCTACATAACTATAATATCACATGCTTAAGTGGTTGGGTACCGCTAACATTGTTGGGAGTCTGCATAGTTTATTTAAATAAAAGCAATACCGGCTTCTAAACCACAAACTGTATTCCAGCTGATGCTTGTATTTTAGGGAATGAGTTTATTTCTAATGCAGTGCATACATCTTTTAATGATTTATGCATGTTGCCAGAGATAGATTTCTTAATCGAACATTCACGTAATAGCTCTCATGACAACAGTATATATGGTATGACATAGTACAGTCATACTACATGGCTAACAGACAGTAAAACACAGACGGTAACAGATAGATGTGGAGACAGTGCTGGACGGGGAGGAGATGGAAACATTGCTGAGAACATATTTGATGTTTTTATATTGCTGCTGTCACTATCAACACACACACACACACACACACACACACACACACACACACACACACA